TAAACAAGCCCAGTTCATGAAGCCTGGCTTCATAGGTCATGTTCTCTAAACCTTTAATCATTCTTGTTGCTCTTCTCTGTACCCTTTCCAATTTCTCCACATCTTTCTTGAAATGTGGCGCCCAGAACTGGACACAGTACTCCAGCTGAGGCCTAACTAGTGCAGAGTAGAGCGGCAGAATGACTTCACGAGTTTTGCTTACAACACACCTGTTGATACAACCTAGAATCATATTTGCTTTTTTTGCAACAGCATCACACTGTTGACTCATATTCAACTTGTGGTCCACTATGACCCCTAGATCCCTTTCTGCCATGCTCCTTCCTAGACAGTCGCTTCCCATCTTGTATGTATGGAACTGATTGTTCCTTCCTAAGTGGAGCACTTTGCATTTCTCTTTATTAAACCTCATCCTGTTTACCTCTGACCATTTCTCTAACTTGCTAAGGTCATTTTGAATTATGTCCCTATCCTCCAAAGAAGTTGCAACCCCACCCAGTTTGGTATCATCTGCAAACTTAATAAGCGTACTCTCTATCCCAATATCTACATCATTGATGAAGATGTTGAACAGTATGGGTCCCAAAACAGACCCTTGAGGAACTCCACTTGTTATCCCTTTCCAGCAGGATTTAGAACCGTTAACAACAACTCTCTGACTACGGTTATCCAGCCAATTATGCACCCACCTTATCGTGGCCCTATCTAAGTTATATTTGCCTAGTTTATCAATAAGAATATCATGCGAGACCGTATCAAATGCCTTACTAAAGTCTAGGTATATGACATCCACCGCTTCTCCCTTATCCACAAGGCTCGTTATCTTATCAAAGAAAGCTATCAGATTAGTTTGGCATGACTTGTTCTTCACAAACCCATGCTGGCTATTCCCTATCACTTTATTACCTTCCAAGTGTTTGCATATGATTTCCTTAATTACCTGCTCCATTATCTTCCCTGGGACAGACGTTAAACTGACCGGTCTGTAGTTTCCTGGGTTGTTCTTATTCCCCTTTTTATAGATGGGCACAATATTTGCCCTTTTCCAGTCTTCTGGAATCTCCCCTGTCTGCCATGATTTTTCAAAGATCATAGCTAAAGGCTCAGATACCTCCTCTATCAGCTCCTTGAGTATCCTGGGATGCATTTCATCAGGACCTGGTGACTTGCTGACATCTAACTTTCCTAAGTGATTTTTAACTTGTTCTTTGTGTATCCTATCTTCTAAACTTACCCTCTCTCTGCTTGTATTCACTACGTTAGGCACACCTCCAGACTTCTCGGTGAAGACCGAAACAAAGAAGTCATTGAGCATCTCCGCCATTTCCAAGTTCCCTGTTACTGCTTCTCCCTCCTCGCTAAGCAGTGGGCCTACCCTGTCCTTGGTCTTCCTCTTGCTTTTAATGTATTTATAAAAGGTCTTCTTGTTTCCCTTTATGCCTGTAGCTAGTTTGATCTCATTTTGTGCCTTTGCCTTTCTAATCTTGCCCCTGCATTCCCGTGTTGCTTGCCTATATTCATCCTTTGTTAGTTGTCCTAGTTTCCATTTTTTATATGACTCCTTTTTTATTTTGAGATCGTGCAAGATCTCCTTGTTAAGCCAAGCTGGTCTTTTGCCATATTTTCTATCTTTCCTACACAGCGGAATTGTTTGCTTTTGGGCCCTTAACAACGTCCCTTTGAAATACTTCCAACTCTCCTCAGTTGTTTTTCCCTTCAGTCTTGCTTCCCATGGGACCTTACCTACAAGTTCTCTGAGCTTATCAAAATCTGCCTTCCTGAAATCCATTACCTCAATTGTGCTGGTCTCCCTTCTACCTTTCCTTAAGATCATGAACTCTATTATTTCGTGATCACTGTCCCCTATACTGTCTTCCACTTTCAAGTTCTCAACTAGTTCCTCCCTATTTGTTAAAACCAAATCCAGAACAGCTTCTCCTCTGGTAGCTTTTTCAACCTTCTGAAACAGAAAGTTGTCTCCAATGCAGTCCAGAAACTTATTGGATAGCCTGTGCCTCGCTGTGTTAGTTTCCCAACATATGTCTGGATAGTTGAAGTCCCCCATCACCACCAAATCTTGGGCTTTGGATAGTTTTGTTAATTGTTTAAAAAAGGCCTCATCCACCTCTTCCACCTGGCTAGGTGGCCTGTAGTAGACTCCTAGCATGATATCACCCTCGTTTTTTACCCCTTTTAGCTTAACCCAGAGACTCTCTACACAGCTATCTCCTACGTTCATCTCCACTTCAGTCCAAGTGTGTACATTTTTAATATACAAGGCAACCCCTCCTCCCTTTTTTCCCTGTCTGTCCTTCCTGAGCAAGCCGTACCCTTCCATACCAACATTCCAATCATGTGTCCCATCCCACCAGGTTTCTGTAATACCAATGATATCATAGTTGTATTTATTGGTTAGCAATTCCAGTTCTTCCTGCTTATTACCCATACTTCTCGCATTTGTATATAGGCATCTAAGATACTGATTTGATCTTGCCTCCCTGTTGTGCCCTGACCCTCCTTTCTCCTTGCCATTATAGGCCGTAGTCCCCCCCATTTCCAACCCATCTCCCAGTCCCGCACATTCAGCACTTACCTGTGGGCTTTGCTCACCTGCCCCCGACAAACCTAGTTTAAAGCCCTCCTCACAAGGTTAGCCAGTCTGTGTCCAAACAAGGCCTTCCCGCTCCTGGAAAGGTGAACTCCATCTCCGCCAAGCAGTCCTTCCTGGAAGAGCACCCCGTATATATTTTGTAGGATGTTTGAATTGTAGGTGATCCTAGTTGAGGTGTTTTTTGTACAGTTGTATGAGGAAGTATAAGAGGCTTCCAGGGAAACAGTCTTGTTTAGTCTCCTCAATGAGCATCTAAACTTACCTGAGCACTGCTTCTGGAGATGGTTTTGCTTGTTGTTCAGTTTTGCATGTCGGTCATTCAAGATAAACATGTTCTCACAGGCTTCAAATGTAGTTGTGGGAAAGCTTATTTGGGTGAGGGGAGAACCTGCTATTCTTAAATCAGGTTTCTAGAGTTGGGAACACACTTTTTAAGTTCCTTTTTAAAACTAAATATACTTCCTACCATGCATGCAAGCCATACAGTCCTGCAGGCCAGTACAGTCTGTGGGACTATTTGTGTGAGTACGTGTATCGGATAATTGCCTGACTACATTTCCTGTGTGGTTGGAATGGAGGACTATATTTAACAAACTTAAACAGGGGATGTGGTCTGCAAAAAATGTGAGGGGGATGGAAGGGAACTGAGAAGAAAATCTGACAGGAAAATAACTATTACTTTTTTGAGATTTGACTTGGTTTCTTCTGACTGGAGATAATTTAATTATAGTCTGATGTTTCTATATTCTTTATGCTTATTTTAAATGCATAATACACCTATGCAGTTTCTGAAAGAATTGAGAAGGTACATAACTACCTTCATCGTTGTTCTTCTTATTGTCATCCTGGGTTTGGCCAATATGAGATTTATTGGTAGATTTAAAACACCAGATCAGACTAATTACATTGTTGTTCCTGGAAAACTTCTCTAATTAGAGCTTCACGTTTCACTTTCTCTGGTCTGAGTTTCTTGTTAAAGTATCTGAACTAAGTGCTCTGGTTTTGTTTCTTGTTAAAGTATCTGAACTAAGTGCTCCAAGGATGAAGCAGTGGCATCTACATTTTAAGATTAGTTTAATAACAGTAACAAAGAATCAGGGTTACTCTATAGATAAACATTCTGAAAGTGCTCACTACTGTCTAGTCTCTGTAAATAACTTATAAGTGGAAGGGCTTAGGTTCAAAAGACAGTGCTTGAAAGGAAGCTATGTATGTGCAAAGGTTTAATGTCACTGTTTGAACAATGTTTCCCTCTGTGCAAATCTATATCCAAATGTTATTACAAGTTGTATTCTTTTGAAAGTAAACCTTTAAAGCAAATATATCCTCCTAATGTGGGCATTATTCTTGATGGAATTTGATGTGACACTGTAAGGGCCAATAACATAGGTTCATGAGAGGAAAATTGAAGCATGAAACCTGGCAGGCATCTTTTCCAAGCTCTACTATCTGAAACTTTGTTTATGTGCAAACATCTGATTACCTTCATTTACATTAAACCAGACCCCCGTGGGCTGGTAAATTCTTATCACTGCTTTCACTAAGTATCTGCTTAGTGAAGATGCTGTCTATGCCAAAAAGATACATTCTTCCTTCAGTGTAGTACTCCACCTCCCTAAAAGGCAATATATTTCAGTGGAAAGACCCCCTCCCATTGACCTAATGTTGCCTACAAAAGGATTATAGGTTAGTATAAATCAATTGTGCAGGGGTGTGGATTTTCCACACCTCTGTATGTTGTAGTTATGCATACGTAAGTTCTTAGTATAGACCAAGCCTAAATAAGAAGTGTTTTGCATTCTTTTGAGAACTAGATTCAAGAAAATAGTACTTAAAATATGGGAGTTGATTGTAATGGAAAGGAATGGTATTGTTACGAGTGTGAATTGATTAGAAATGCTCTTTTCTGTTCCATCCCCACACTATGCCAACACCCCCTGTAAACCAATACCTGTCCTTATATTGACCCAAATTACCAAAGATCAGATTAGATGGATTAATATAGGTCTGTGCCCTTAAAATGGCGGAATTTGACTTCTTTTAAACAGATTTGATAGAAGATTCTCTGGATTTCACTGACAGACATCAACCTTCATTAGGACAAATGAGCATTCCAGCTGTTTTGAGATAGGGGTATATGAGAGAAAAAGTCACTAAAATTTCAGGGTTCCAGTCAATTTAGGGCTCTCCAAACATTAGTTAGCACTTCAAATTGTATGTGGAAATATCTGTATCATTTTTTGAAAATAGTCTTACCTTGAAAAAGGTCACAAGACATACTGAGATTTCTTTGATTTGAAATGATGAGAGAGAGTATGTAATGCTGTGAACATTTCAGACTAGAAGGTCTTCTGCAACACAGTCATTAACAGTGCATTTGTTTCTGCAGAAATTGCTGAAATTCCAGAAAGCATCTCCTTTTGCAAAGCACTACAGATAGCAGACTTCAGTGGGAACCCGCTGACCAGGTAACATTCCCCTTTATGCTAAGTGCTTTCCAGGCCAACTCTACAATCTTATTTAACTCACACCATAATATTTACTTTAAAAATGGAGCATGTCTGATTTGCACATAATGTATCTCCTCCACAGGGAGGTGGTCAGAGCTCAGAGTTACAGGGACAAGTGCGCCTGTCTGTACCTTGGGGTTGAAGATTATAGGCTGTGCAGAACAAATGTGAAGTAAAAGTACAGGAATTTTTTCAAGCAGGATCAGCAATGCTATGGTGTTATATTTTCCATGGTTACCTATTTCTTTCATCTCTAGCTTTTGTCTATTTTGGGGATTTAGCAATCACTGGCCAGAAAGCAGTATAGCTGCATTGGCACAATTTGACTGCTTGAAACTGGGGTTAACTCAACAGATGCAAATTATGGCTCTTCTTGAATATGCTTGAGGTTTGCACCTGTGCCATGCCATGTAACTGGCTACCGAATTAGGGCTAATCCAACATACCTCTACAATGCTGGGTGACCATAATGTATTCCACCTGGTGATGGCTGCCGCTTCTCTAATACCCATCTTCCCCCTCTCCATACAGTTGCTGTGAAAGCAGTTCATAGTGGCATTGGTTATGTCAAGATATGCTCTCTCCTGTCCAGCCCTAGGAAAAAAGTTATAGTTGCTAGGGATATTAAATATCTGTTAATTGAATAGTTTATTAACCTCATGAATTCTTATCGGTTACTCGACTATTCTATAGTCCGTGAGGCAGGGCCATCAGCCAGTCCACTCCGGCCTCACTCCCGAGGAGTCTCCTGCCACTCTGCACTGCTGCCTCTGTATCAGAGGTAGCAGCGTGGGGTGCCAGGTGGGAGCTGGTCTGCAAGGGGCACCAGTTAAAAAGCACCTCCCTCGCAGACCAGCAGCCTGTCATCCTGTGCTGCTGCCTCTGATAAAGAGACAACAGTGTGGGGTGGCAGCAGCCCCTGGGCTGGGAGTGGGAGGGTCTGAGCTCCCAGACTCAGTGCAAGGAGAACTGAGCCAGGCTGCCTTCCTGCCCAGATCTGAATACACTTTAAATGGAGAGCTGCAGTGGAGGTAAGACCTGGACCCCCCAGTGCAAGCTGGGACTGAGCTGGGCTACTGGCCAGTCGGGGAAAGAAATGTGTGTAGTCTGTAGCATTAATGGATAAGCTTTTGCTTATCAGTTAATCGACTATACTATTACCTCCTTAATAGTTGCCTCAGTGATGGTAGCTCTTGCTTCTGTATTCTGTATACCACTAAGACCCTGTAAATGCTTATTTTAAGTGTCTTTTAGATGTTGCTCAAGGGGCTCAGTTTGGTAGGATGCACTTGATTGCTGTGACTCTGATTCAGCTTAATGAATCAGTGTTATTCCACCCCACTCCGAACACTACATAAAGATGAATGGTAGCAAAGGAGAGGACGGTCCCTTGGAAAATCAAGGTGGTTGGTAAGGAAAATGAATGATAGTCTGGGACGTACAGGAGCATCTAGGAGAAGCAGGGATCAGCTGAGGTGCTGGGGTTGTAGCAGCTGCTCTTTATTCCTATGCTCTGGATGGTTGTGCCTAGCAAGAAGGGGACTAAAAAAGAAAGCCTGTAATGCATTGTGATTGACTGTAGAGCATTAGAAATAGGGATGGAATCTGCATAAGTGATCCTTCCTTGGTGGAAAAGAGTAGCATGTTTGTCATGTAGTGAGGTCACCAATACAACATTTCATAGACATGGGGCATAACCGCCAGTAGCTGTCCCAGTAGTTGTCATGTTCGCACTAGCAATAAGCATTGTTACAACATGGATGCTGCAGTGGTATGCTGGCTAGCTGTACATGTGCATTTAGGCTCTCTGCTGCTCATATTATTCTAGTAAAGAATTAGTTTTATGATTCTTCTCTCTTTGATGTAACAGTATTAAATGGGTCGGATTACTTGTAAGCTGAATCCTTCCTATTTCCTAAAATATAAAGCAAGTTACAAGGTGTTAGAAAATAGCAATAAGTTTCTACTTGCTGGGGTTTGAAATGAGCAATATGCAGTACACTTCTTGGTGAAGGAAAACTTCCTTATGGGCTTTCATATGATGATCATCACTGTAGAATCTGAATGCTTCTCATATTAATTAATTAACCTTCACAAAAACCCTGGTGAGGTTAGGATGTGGTACTTATCCATAGGTTATGGAAGGCAACTGGAACACAGAGGAATTAAGGTGAAAAACTGTCCCTTTATTTTGGATGCCCAATTTGAGGTGTCTTGGAACTGGTTTTCTAATTATTTAGCATTTGATAGTATTTCATGCATTCCAATTCAGCTCTTATTGACTTCAGTTGCAGCTATGAGTGCTCAGCACTTCTGTGTATCATGTTTCAAGGTAACAAATTGGGTATCCATAAGCTGAAGAATACACATGACCAAAATGTTCACACTTGGCTGTGAATTCTTTGCCCAGCGTCACTTAGGAACTTTGGCAGAGGCAGGGATAGAATCCAGTTTTCCTGGACAGTGTTCAAGTGCCTTTATCGCGGGACCGTCCACTTTTCCTGCAGTTCCCTGCCTTATTAACTACTTGCCTTCCAATTTCTGCAGCAAATGAATCAACAGCCCTCTTTCACAGTACAGTTCTAATTAATCCTTAGAGCCCAGTTCATGCTATGCACTGAATGAGGAATGGATCATGTAATTAAAGAATGTATCCTAATGTGTAAAACCCAAGGGGTCTTGTTAGGATTGCATAGGAAAATTTTCTAATGTTTGACTGAATGTTTGACTGTAGCTTTCTAAGTGTAAACAAGCAGAAATTCAGTCACATGAAATCATATAGCCGCTCACGTGGATCATTAGCAAGGTTGCAACAATTAGATCCATTGCACTGGCCTCTGCTGCTTGAACTTACAGAGTAAAGTGACAGAGGATAACTTACTACTGGTAGGTGGTCCAGCACTAGAAGGAGTGAGATAGCTGTGAAACTGATTGACAAAAGGTATTTGCTGACACCAAAGAAATATTGAGACTTGGGAATCTTGGATTTCAATCTGGATTTTGGCAGAGATTTTGCTCTTGTGTCCACACAAGCTTCTGCCCCATCCCCTCCAATCTAGCCAATCCTAATCTACTTCTCCCATCCCTCAGGCCACATTCTTGTCTGTTCTGCATTCAAGTCAAGTGGCTTCTTCCTTAGCACTGCTTGGGGTCCACCAAGCAGAAGCATTGAGAGAAGAGGAAAACGTTGCTTGGTATTTCTAGTCTGATGCCATAGCAGCCCAATAGATGGGAACAGCAATTGTAGGGAATGCCTAAGCATGCCTAGTACGGATGGAATCTTTAGAGCGGAGCTACTCAACACGCGCTCTGCGGCCTATCTGTTTGCGGTCCGCGGGTGCGGTTTGGGTTTACATTGCAGCTTAGGTTAATATGTGTTTTAGTAGTAAAATTCCTGGACTGTTGTGAAGCTAAAACAAAAAAGTAGTCATTATAATGGTCTTCTGTTGATAAGCGTTTTAGTAGTTAAATTCGTCGACTGTCATTGCTAATTCAAAGTGCTGTCATATGGGTGGAAATTGGGTAAATATTGCATTTTATTAATATCAGCAGAACTAATTGAAATGGGGCATGTGTGTTGTGTAGTCTTGCCTTAATTGTTGTATTCATACACGTCAGTGTGAAAGAAGCTGTTTGCATATATATTTGCATGTGTACGCAACCACCCTTAAGTTGCAGCCCTCGGCATGTGCTGGGAGTCTCATTGTGGCTCCTGGGGCTTCCAAAGTTGAGTAGCCCTGCTTTAGAGGATGTAAATGCCAAACTAACAGTTCTCTACTGGGCATGTATGAATTGAGATTTTGCAAATTGGCATGAGTTTTTAAGAGAACAATGAAAACATACAACCTTGACATAAAGGCAATCCCTGTGCTGCCTTTCTAGACCCTGCTCCTAAGCATGGGCACTTGTTCTTCTCAACAAAATGGTTGAATGATTTATTCAAGAGGGCAAAAGAGTCATCCCTTCCCCAATCTCGTTTTTGGAAATGGCTGAAACTTTTTGAAAATATTCAGCTTGAGTGATATATTCTGCATGAAAAACTTCAATTCAAATGGCTAAGTTAGAAGCAACAGAAAATGGTCTTTATAATGGAAGTATGAGGTAACGTTATTTATAGGCACTGTTACCAGCATCACCAATAATACCATGATCATTTGGGCAATCTTTTCTTGTTGATTTGTGTATCCCAGTACCGGTAATTGCCTCCTTTTCTGTGAAGTACTGAACTGTTTTGTGACTAGTGAGTCCAGTTCTTATTTCCTCTAGGCTTAAATGCCAGTCACAGATCTTTCTAACTCAGGGTCCAAGCCAGCACCCTCGGATAAAGAGCAGCTCTAAGCCGTTCAAAGCAGTTTGCTGTTCCATGTCGTCCTCTGCCCTGGGCTCAGTGTGGGAGGGAGGCATTGGGTGCTGCCTACGCCAACAGCACCATCTCTCAGTTCCTATTGGCCGGAAACCAGGCAATGGGAGCTCAGGGATGGCGGGTGGGAGCCACTCACAAAGCCTCGCTGCAGAGAGCCATATGGAACAGCCAGCTGCTTTGTGCTTGGGACTGTGGCAGGCTGGGAGCCTGCCTGATGGTCCCACTGGGCTGCTGGCTGGGAGCTGCCTAGATAAGTGACGCCTGCCTCTGGCACCTGACTCCCTCCCACACTCCAACTCCCTGCCACAGGTCACTGCCCCAGTCTTCTGCACCCTCTCCTATTCTCCTCACTCAGGTCAGAATCCTCTCCTGCACCAATACCTCTCCCCAGACCCTACACTGCATGCTTCTGTCCCAGGTCACTAACCTTCCTTCACTCAAACTCCCTCTCAGACCCCACACCCTGTCCTTCGCCCCAGTCCCCTATCCTGAGCTTTATTCTGTACCCAACCTCTGTCCCAGACATTGTACTCACTTCATAGAAAAGTGTGTAGCCCTTGATCCCTTTCCAAAATCTTGGAATTGCCCCCCTGTCAAAAATTATTGTCCACTCTGTCTTCATGAATGTCCTTCTACTGCTCCAATGAGTTGCATCGTTGTTGAGGCTTCCAATGAATGTTCTTAAATATTCAAGCAAGAAAGAATGTATTGAAGAATAGAGCTTCTTAGTTTCTGTGGGGTATTCTTCACTCTGAAGTTGTCCCAAGGACAGAGGATATGCTCAAAATAGGGCAAGCAGGTGGTACACTCCCCAATATACTGCAGGGACACAATTGCTTTGACCCTGTGGTCTTCCAAAAGTGGTCACATATACATTCTTGCTTGTATCCCTGTCTCGCATATTACTAAATTACTCAAACGCCATCAAAATATTCTCATGGGGTTTTTTTCCTCAATTTTCTTGTCTAAACTAATATTAACACAGGCAGCATAAGAAAGTGAAGTTTCCCAAGCTTTCCCAATAATAACTTCCTTAAAAATGTATGTTGTTTCAACAGGTTTTGATTGTTTCTTTTGTGGAGGTCGTCTTATGGGATATTCATTGCCTTAATACAGGCAGTCCCCGGGTTACGTACAAGATAGGGACTGTAGGTTTGTTCTTAAGTTGAATCTGTATGTAAGTTGGAACTGCCATCAGCCGCTGCTGAAACTGATCAGTTTCAACAGCGGCTGAATCTGGACACCAGTTCCACTTACATACAGATTCAACGTAAGAACCCCAAGCGTCCCCAAGTCAGCTGCTGTTGAAACTGATCAGCAGCTGATTCCAGGAAGCCCAGGGCAGAGCAACTCTGCCTTGGGCTTCCTGTAGTCAGCCGCTGGTCAGTTTCA